GCCCCCTGCCTCCGGGAGCCAGGAGGCCTGCACCACCACGGAGGAGGGGAACCAGCCCGTCCAGCTCAGCCTCAGCGGCAGCGGCAGCTCTGGCTCCTCCTGGGGGAGCTGGTGGAGGCTGCCCACTGCGTCCAGGGGGTCCTCTGAGGGGGGCGAGCCCTGGTCCTTCCTGAACTCCAGCGGGAGTTCCTTCGGGTCGTTGGCGGGAGAGACGCGGCAGGAGACGCTCGAGGCTCGCACACTGCAGCCCCATGACCTGGAACAGCTCCTGGCAGGCGTGACGCATGACTGGTTGCTACGGAGGCTGGAGGGCACAGGGGTGTTTAGGCCCAGCCGCCTGCACCAGGCGTACGGTAAGTACACAGCCTGTGGCAGGTGCAAGGCCTGGGAGGTGGGTGCATGGCCTGGGAGGTGAGTACATGGCCTGGGAGGTGAGTGCATGGCCTGGGAGGTGAGTGCATGGCCTGGGAGGTGGGTGCATGGCCCGGGAGGTGGGTGCATGGCCCCGGAGGTGAGTGACATGGCCCGGGAGGTGGGTGCCTGGCCTGGGAGGGGATTGCATGGCCTGGGAGGTGGGTGCATGGCCTGGGAGGTGGGTGCCTGGCCAGAGGCAGAGGCACCCTTGCAGAGCTGTGACCATACTTAAAGCTCAGGGGACAGAGACCCCGTCCTGCTCTGTGAGTGTCCTGCGATGTGTGCAGCGGGGCCTCCCTGACTCGGGCTGCTGGGCTCTAAGGTTCCCAGGATTAGACGCCCCCTCGGGCCACCTCGTGCTGGGGACTCGCTGTAGGACACACGGGGCCATCGGGAGGCAGGAACCCCAGGGACCGTGTTCCCCTTTCTTTTTAAAAATGCGTTTTTATTGATTTCAGAGAGGAAGGGAAAGAGAGATAGAAACATCAACGATGAGAGCAAATCATTGATTGGCCACCTCCTGCACGCCCCCTTCTGGGGGTCGAGCCCACAACCCGGGCATGTGCCCTTGGCCAGGAATTGAACCAGGGACCCATCAGTCTGCAGGCTGACACTCTATCCACTGAGTCAAACCAGCTGGGGCCATATTCCCCTCTCATTCTCATGAGCAACCAGCTGACTCCTCTCAGCATCACTCCACTCAGCTTCCAGGGCACAGAATTTGCCTAGACATCACCCTTCCAGGGTGCAGTGACTTTACACCTGCTTCTCCCCCCCAGAGGCTGCTCAAAGGGCAGCCGGAGGTCACTTCTGTACCGAGAGTGGGAAGGGGTGCGCCCCAGGCCACGCATCCAGGAGGGCTTCTACGCGGTGGCAACGCAGGAAGGAACAAAACAAGGTTCTTCTCTCGGCCGGGGACCCATCATAAAGCCCAAGATACTGACCAGTTACTGGAATGAAAAAACAATACAGCCCGGCCAGTCACGGTTCGATTCCCGGTCAGGGCACATGCCTGGGTTGCAGGCCCGGTCCCCAGTGCGGGGTGTGCAGGAGGCAGCTGATCCATGATTCTCTCTCATCCTTGATGTTTCCCTCTCTCTCTCTCCCTCTCCCTTCCTCTCTGAAATCAATAAAAAAATATTTTAAAAAAACCAACAAACTGCTGCAAAGGGCATTTTAGGAGAATACATGTGAGTTGCTAAGCAGAGGATTCTTGAGTAGTTCTCAGTCCTGGCACCCCACGGGAACCCCTGGGGCTCAGTCCTAAACTTCCAAGGCCTCACCCCAGATTCCAATCTCATAGGCGGGGTGTGGATCCAGGAATCAGCATGGTTTTCATTCCCCCAGTTTTATCGGGGAGTCACTGACATCCATCAATGTATGAGTTGGAGGCGGGCAGCATGGCAGTCTGCGCCTGTGTTTGGTGACATGATCACCATGGGTTCACTCACTCCACCCTCTCACGCAGACACAATAAATGGGAAAGAAAGACAAAATAAAGAAGAAAAAGCTTTCTCCTTGTGATGAGAATCCTAGGGCTTCCTCTCCTACAACTGCCCTGTGTGCCCACAGCGGGGCCAGCGTCCCAGGGACTGGCTCCTCTTACACTGAGTCTGCATCTTCTGGCTGTCTCCCTCCAGCCCCCCTCCCCCACTGGGAACCACAGTCCTACCTCTTTTTAAATTCCACGTAAAGGTGACATCACACAGTATCCCAAAATGCTGCATTTCTCCCTCAAAGGGGTGCTTTCTTGCTGGCGTTGCTCTTCATTCTTTAAAATATATATAGAGATATCGATAGATATAGATAGATATAGATATAGATATAGATATAGATATAGATATAGATATAGATATAGATATAGATATAGATATAGATATAGATATAGATATAGATATAGATATAGATATAGATATAGATATAGATATAGATATAGATATAGATATAGATATAGATATAGATATAGATATAGATATAGATATAGATATAGATATAGATATAGATATAGATATAGATATAGATATAGATATAGATATAGATATAGATATAGATATAGATATAGATATAGATATAGATATAGATATAGATATAGATATAGATATAGATATAGATATAGATATAGATATAGATATAGATATAGATATAGATATAGATATAGATATAGATATAGATATAGATATAGATATAGATATAGATATAGATATAGATATAGATATAGATATAGATATAGATATAGATATAGATATAGATATAGATATAGATATAGATATAGATATAGATATAGATATAGATATAGATATAGATATAGATATAGATATAGATATAGATATAGATATAGATATAGATATAGATATAGATATAGATATAGATATAGATATAGATATAGATATAGATATAGATATAGATATAGATATAGATATAGATATAGATATAGATATAGATATAGATATAGATATAGATATAGATATAGATATAGATATAGATATAGATATAGATATAGATATATATAGATATATAGATATAGGAGAGGGAAAGAGAGATAAAAACATCAACGATGAGAGAGAATCACTGATCGGCTGCCTCCTGCAGGCCCCACACACGGGATGGACCACAACCGGGGCCTGTGCCCTGACCGGGAATCAAACCGTGGCCTCCTGGTTCCTAAGTCGATGCTCAACCACGGAGCCACGCCGGCCGGGCTGTTCTTCATCCTTTAAGGTGAGGACGGTCCTTATTTTTTCATATCTTTCCCTTTTCCGGGTGAGTTCATATCTTTGTACAGTAGCTATATTTTCTCAAGTAATTGTTGTGCTTTTCCAAATTAAACAAAATAAGGAAGAGAAGATGAGGGGGTCCTTTAACACGCAATGGAGGGGCCCTGGAATGCCAGGGACCTCTGAGGTGAGACATTGATGTATTTCTGTCCATAGCACCTGGCGTAGGTAGGAGCCCATTACCTGGAGCCCCCCAGGTCATCAGAAGAAGACCAAGCCTGTAGCACATATTCCAGGATGTCTCTGAGGTGTCTCTGTTTAGCCCGGCCGGCGTGGCTCAGTGGTTGAGCATCGACCTAGGAACCAAGAGGCCGTGGTTCAATTCCCGGTCAGGGCACATAGCTGAGTTTCAGGCTCAATCCCTAGTAGAGGGCGTGCAGGCAGCAGCCGATCAATAATTCTCTCTCATCACTGATGTTTCTCTCCCTCCCTCTTCCTTCCTCTCTGAAATCAATAAAAATATATTTTAAAATAAATAAATAGCCCTTTATTCTCCTCTCCTTTCGTCCTGAAACCCTGGCCTTACCTTCACGTTGCCGCCACAAACAAGATTCTGTGAATCAAAGGCTAGTCTTCATCTTATTTGTGAAGCTCTGCTTGTTTATTACTCTTCGATAACTTTTTATTTGTCTCCATGGAAGGGGCTAACCTTTGAGACATGTATACAGAAGCTGAAGATGTCAGATCAGCTGAATTGGGCCCCGAGCCACTTCCACTGTATCCGTAACAGTGCCATCCTTAGGAAAACCAGATCCGCTTTCATCTGACCTTCCTTTCACAGATGCTCTTTTGTTGAAATATTCCAAGAAGTCGGAGCTGTGGACGGCCCAGGAGACTGCTGTGTACCTGGGGGACTACCTGAGGGTGACGAAGAAGGGCAGACAGAGGAACGCCTTTTGGGTTCATTATCTCCATCAAGAAGAAACGCTGGGGAGGTACTGATCGCAGACATCACCACCACTCATGTGAAAAGGGCTGCTCAGCCCGGCCGGCGGGTCTCAGTGGTTGAGCGTCGACTATGACCTAGGACAGTGGTCGGCAAACTCACTAGTCAACAGAGCCAAATATCAACAGTACAATGATTGAAATTTCTTTTGAGAGCCAAATTTTTTAAACTTAAACTATATAGGTAGGTACATTGTTATTAACTTAATTAGGGTACTCCTAAGGCTTAGGAAGAGCCACACTCAAGGGGCCAAAGAGCCGCATGTGGCTCTCGAGCCGCAGTTTGCCCACCACGGACCTAGGAGGTCAGGGCACCTGCCCAGGCTGCAGGCTCAATCCCCAGTGTGGGGCGTGCAGGAGGCAGCTGATCAGTGATTCTCTCTCATAATCGATGTTTCTCTCTCTCTCCCTCTCCCTTCCTTTCTGAAATCAATAAAAATATCCATTTTTTAAACCTCCTTGAGCGAGGGTTTAAAAGGAATGTTTAAACGCTGGTAAAAAGTCCAGTTCAGCTCTGAAAGCCACACTCTGAGTGAACGAATGAGCCGGGGAAAAGGCAGGAGAGCCGTCTTAGGCCGGAGACGAGGCAGCCCAGGTGCGGGCCTGAGCATGCAGCCTGGGCACCTGCCCAGAGGGCGGTGCAGGGAGGGGACAGGTTCGGAGACCCCCGCGTGGAGCCGGACGCGGGAAGGCCGCCTCCTCGGGGAGGTCACCTGGTGGTTCTGTCTAACGGCAGGTACGTTGGGAAGGAGTATAAGGAGCCGAAGGCGCTGTGGCTGCACTTCTCCGACGTGGAGCGCCAGGCGACCGCCCAGCACTACGTCACGGAATTCAACAAGCGACTTTATGAGCAACAGATCCCAACCCAGATCTTCTACGTCCCCTCCGTGGCGCTGCTGGTGAGATGGACAAAGGCAGGGCTTGGGGAGACAGGCCCATGGATGCCTCTTAGGTCAGATTTCTCTTTTTTAATATATTTTTATTGATTTCAGAGAGGAAGGGAGAGGGAGAGACAGAAACATCAATGATGAGCCCTGGCTGGTTTGGCTCAGTGACTAGAGGTTGGCCTGCACACTGAAGGGTCCCGGGTTCGATTCTGGTCAAGGGCACAGGCCCGGGTTTCAGGCTCTATTCCCAGTGTGGGGCATGCAGGAGGCAGCCGATCCATGATTCTCTCCCATCATTGATGTTTTTTTCTCTCTCTCTCTCTCCTTCTCCCTTCTTCTCTGAAATCATTAAAAATATATTTAAAAAAATAAAAAAGGAAACATCACGGCCCAAGTTTGACAGGAGCATTTCAGTGAAAGAATAACTGTAGGTTCTATGATATTCCATCAACGTTAGGCACCTCGCATGCAGATAAGGAAACCAGATCTAGTCGCCATTCTCCTGATCGGCAAAGCCGAGGTTCACAGACCATCCGTCCGTCCCCTCGCCCGTGCCCTCACCGTACGTCACACGCCTCCCGCTTCTGTTTTGCAGATTTTAGAGGACGAGACGATAAAAGGGTGTGTCAGTGTGGAGCCTTACATACTGGGGGAGTTTGTGAAATTATCCAATAACACGCAAGTGGTGAAGACCGAGTACAAAGCCACCGAATACGGCTTGGCTTACGGCCACTTTTCTTACGAGTTTTCCAACCACAGGGATGTCGTAGTAGATTTACAAGGTACGTACAAGGGGCTTACGCTTCCTGTTTGGTGTTGTTCGCATGTACATGTGAGGTTTCGCAGCTACCTCCGCCAACCACTCTTTAACAGATTGTGCAGTGCCTGCTTGCAATTAAATTAGTCTATTTGAGCCCCGGCTGGTTGGGCTCAGTGGCTAGAGCGTCGGCCTGCGGACTGAAGGGTCCCGGGGTCAATTCTGGTCAAGGGCACATGCCCGTGTTGCGGGCTCCATCCCCAGTGTGGGGCGAGCAGGAGGCAGCCGATCCGTGATTCTCTTTCATCGTTGGTGTTTCTATTCTCTCCCTCTCCCTTCCTCTCTGAAACCAATTTTTAAAAAATATTTAAAATAATTAAATAAATAAATTCGCATCTCACCGATTTAAAAAAAAAAACACGCACAAATGAAACGGTGACTTGACTTATAAGAAATTTAATTAATCGATTGATCGATTTGACTCTGGGTTGCAAATGATGCCTGAAAAAATGCCTCGAGGTTCTGTAAGTCTCTAAGACATCCACTCATCCACGACGAGACGGGGTCCCCTCCTGGGAGGCTGAGTCCTGGGGCACGCGCACCCGCTTTCTAAGTTTCCGAGGGTGAAAACCCCCCCCCCCCTCTCCTCCCCGCGCCTCCGCCTCTAGCGTGCTGTGCGCGGCTGCAGGCATCCTGACGCGGGGGTGCAGCCGCCCAGCGTGGAGCAGAGCAGGCGCCCCAGACACCTGCATGGCCTCGTCCAGGGACAGAGTGCTGTGTGTGCTTCAGTCTGAGTCCCTTTACGTTCTCTGCGTTCGTGTCTTAATTTTGTTTCCGCTCATCCCGTGTATTATTTATCAGAATCTATTAGCCAATACTCTGCACTTGCTTTTCTAAAATATTTTTATTGACTTCAGAGAGGAAGGGAGAGGGAAGGAGAGAGACACCTCAATGATGAGAGAGAGTCATGGCTCGGCTGCCTCCTGTACATCCCATATTGGGGATCAAGCCCAGAACCCAGGCCTGTGCCCTGATTGGGAACTGAACTCAGGACCCTTCAGTCCCAGGCGGACGCTCTATCCACTGAGCACACCGGCCAGGGATAAAGTTTGTTCCAATGACACATGAGATTTATGATCATTAATCCTATGGCCACTCCGGTCCTCTCTGTGCCTCCCACAGTGCCTGTCCTCACGCTCTGTCACACGGGTGTCATACTTACTCAGGTCGCTTACCCACCTGCCCCGTCCACAGCGTTAGCCCCGCGAGCACTCAGGTCGAGACAAGCTTGTCCGTCGCAGGGCCCAGGCCGAGCACTGTGCTCTGTACAGTGTCTGCGCTCGCTAACTATTTCTCACACAAACGAAGATACACATTAACGACTGAGGCACCAAAGAAACGTGTGAACCACGAAAGAAAGATCCAATCCTGTGATTTTGGTCACAATGCGGGTGCGTTTTATTGCTCTCCGGTGCCTTGAAAACCATTCCTTTGGGTATCGATAGGAGACGGATTTAATGACCCAATATTCACTTCTCCTTCAAGCCATCGTTGGCGCGTAACACCCGCTCGCTCAGCAGAACGTCATTACATGGGCTCTCCGTGTTTTGTTCAGCACATAACTCTTTTTCTGGGACGCGTCCTGGGCGCCCCAGAGGCCTCGTCCTCAGACGCGTGCTGCTCCGCAGGCTGGGTGACCGGCGACGGGAAGGGGCTGCTCTACCTGACGGACCCCCAGATCCACTCGCTGGGCCGCAGAGAGGTCACCACCAACTTCGGGAGCCGGGGCATCTCCTACTTCTTCAACCACCAGCACGCGCAGTGCAACGACATCTGCCGGCGTCTCTCCCTGACAAGACCGCCAACGGAGACGCGGAACAACTCGTAGGCTTTCTGGGGATGCGGCAGCCTCGAGAGCCGCTCACGGGGACCAGGTCCCCCCCTCCAGGTGCGCAGGGGTCAGCGCAGCCTGGTCCCGGGGGCTGGGGGCCTGGGGCGGGGCTGGCCAAGGATGGCGAGAGGAACCGATGAGTCCATTTCAGGTTCACACTTGGACCCGTGCCAGACCCTGGGTCTCTCTCCCTCTTTCACTTTCCCCTCTCGGCATCTCCCCCAATAAATGTCTGCACGTCTCCCCCCTTCTTGGTATTTGCTTCTTTTTTTTTTAATAATTTTTATTTCTTGAAGTATTACAAAGAGTATTACATATGTCTCCTTCTCCCCCCCCCCTTGACATGATGTTTTTCTATCTCTCCTTCTCCCTTCCTTTCTGAAATAAATAAAATATATTTTAAAAGAAAATAATAAAAATTACAGGACAATTAAATAAAATAGGGAACAAAAAGCTTACACACACAAAAATAATGCAACAAAGAGCTTGTTATTTAAAAAGATTAATAAAATTAATAAATCTATGGTTAGACTCCCTAAGGAAAAAAGATAAAAGACTGAAATAAACAAAATCAGAAGTGAAAGAGACATCACAGATATACAATAATCATATAAGATCTTACTATGAAAGACTATATGCCACCAAAGGCCCCCTTCCAAACCCTCCCCAGGCTTCCCACTGTAGTTTGACAGTCTGTTCAACGTTGCTCTGTCTCTGCATCTACCCCTGTTCATCAGTCTATACTGGTCCCCATTATCTGTCCCACCCTCACTGGAGCAGTCCCAACCTCACTGGGGCCATCTCGGTATTTGCTTAAGAACCCAAACTAACACGTTTATTAAAGAAATGGGGGGGGGGGGAATCATCTTATTAACAAAATAAAGGGGGAAGTCATATTATAATATCAAATGATACCGAAAAAAATACTTATAATTTAAAACTAATTCATAGTAAAAAACAAAAAAGCTCTTTGCACCCGGCTGGCATGGCTCAGTGGTTGAGTGTTGACCTATGAACCAGGAGGTCAGGTTCGATTCCCGGTCAGGGCACAGGCCCGGGTTGTGGGTTCGATCCCCAGTATGGGGTGTGCAGGAGGCAGCCGATCCATGATTCTCTCTCATCATTGATGTTTCTATCTTCCTCTCCCTTCCTCTCTGAAATCAATGAAAATATATTTTTTTAAAAAAGCTCTTTGCAAACTAGGCATCATCGAATACTCTCTGAATTTGATTTAAAATTTTTTTTAAATAGCAACACGATAACAGTGAAGCGATTGCAATTTTGGAAAAAGGAATCACTCCAGCTCCTCGCAGGGGAATGACTGGCTCGCTGTGGGCACGCGTGCTTGGCCAAGAGCAGGTCTCCTGTCTGCTGCTTTTCCTCGTCCCCCCACTGCTGCCCTCCCCGCCTCTCCTCCGGCACTTCAGGTCCCGCCTCCCTCCCTGCACCAAAGCCTCGGGTCAGTGGCTGCAAACGAGCCTCCTGTGCTCTGGGTTTAGAGGGAAAAAGAAAAAAGAAACTGGCTTTCTCTCCAACCGTCTCTGGTCTACGGGCTCCCGGCTCCGCCGTGGCCAGCAGCCCTGCCGCTGCCCTTCACGGGTGGACATTACAGGGGCCGCGGGTCTCGGCTCTGGTGTGAGCCCAGCCTGGGGTCCTGGCCTGGATCTTCTGAGGGAGCAGGCCCTCCGCAGCCCAGCGCCCCCTCCTCGCTCTCCGCCTGCCGCCCTGAGAGCTGGGTCAGCCCCCCTCACGACCTCACCCTTCCTACGCCTCCAGGTGTCTGTCCTTCCTCCAGGTGTCTGTCTGTCTGTCCTTCCTCACTGAGAGCCTCCTCCTCGGCCTCAGTGGGGCCTCAGTCAGTGACCCCAGGGGGTGCTCCCCAGTACAGTTGTGTTTCCATCCCGGCCCTGGGACAGGGGCCTATTCAGCCCACTCGGCCGCCACGTTCCCAACCCTTTCATGTTTATTTCTCGCAGCGAGAATGGGTGGTCACTGGGGAATTTTCAAGTCAATTTTAGAAAAACTCCACTAGCATTTTTCTAAGTTGAACGAAATAACTAATTTGTATTTTAATCTTTTGCATGTAGCGTGGTGAAACGACAGCATTTAAAAAGCTAAGTTCCGCCCGGCCGGCGTGGCTCAGTGGCTGAGCGTCGACCTATGACCCAGGAGGTCACGGTTCGATTCCCGGTCAGGGCACAGGCCCGGGTTGTGGGCTGGGTCCCCAGTGTGGGGCGTGCAGGGGGCAGCCGATCCATGATTCTCTCTCATCATTCATGTCTCTCTCTCTCCTCTCCCTCTCCCTTCCGTTCTGAAATCAATGAAAATATATTTTTTAAAATCAAGGAGTGAAGGGCGAGAGGCAGGGGAGAGCAAATCTCGTTATGATGGTGCAGAACCCGCCGGAGAGCGAGCTCTGCAGCTGCACGAGGAGCACAGGCTTTCGCTGCCACGAGGCGAGTGTGGCTAATCCTCTCGGCCGAGGCTTTGTCCGGTGCCCGAGCGCGGCCGGCAGGGCTGCCGGTTCCCAGCGCCTCCGTCTGTCCCCCGGGGCACTCCCCGTCCTGACTGCTGTGCGGCGGGAACAAGCCATCCATCACTGGGCCGGGGGCCGCTCTCCCATAGAAACGTCAAATCAGCACAGGACACGCCGATTACCCGACGTGTGGGCGCTCGCGTGCTCCGAGGGGGATTAAGCGGGCGAGCTCGTTGTGTGGCCCAGACAAAGGGCTCCCTCGCAGCCAGTGGGCACGTCACAGAAGCTGAAAAGGTGGAAAGCAGAGAGTGTAACAGGAAAACAGACCTGGAATGTCACGTCCATCCACACGGCCTCCCCGGAGACGACGCCGCGACGCAGAATCCACCTGCAGGGGAGCCGCCTGGGCCGCGAGCGGGGCCAAGTGTGTCGCCAGCGATGGACACTGACTTATTGTCTCCGCAAATGACGGGGGCGCGGTCACAGATGAGCAGCCCTGCCCGGGGCAGTCCACCTCCCGGGGGCAGGTACGTCAGAGTCATTAGCACGGCTCTTCCGTGCGCGGTGCACACAGGAGTGACGTCTTCAATGAATTTCATACAGAAATGAGCTCCCAGTGGCAGCCTGGGGTCCAGCCTTTAAGTCACGAAGCCGAAGCAAATGGTGTCACAAAATAGTATTCTTACTATGGTTACACAAAACAGTATTTTTACAAGAACCGCGCCTGCAGCTGTGCTACGTTTGCTGTTAGAAGTGACTTTCAAAAGCAGGGAGAAAACGAAGTCCACCGGGTTTCACTCTATATTGAATAAGAGCATCGATTCAAATGAATGTAAGAAAAATGTCTTCATCACCACGTATTTTTAAAACGTAAGGTAACTTCCGGGTTCAGCTTGTGCTTTGCCCGTCAGCCTCGTCCTGGGAAGGAAACCGCTGCAGAGAAAGAAGCAGTGGCTCCTCCCGGGTCCGGGTGAGCTGTGGGCGGCGCTGCTACTGGAAACGCCGTCATCGGTTACCGTTTGGGCGTATTCTGGCGCGCCCCCTGTCTCTCTCAAGTACAGACCGTTTTCTACTCACGGGGGTTGAGAATCAAAGAACGCCCCGTTTTGTTCCTGTAACTACGTTGTCAAAGCTCGGTCACTATCCCTGGCTATCGGTTCTACGATGTCCTGTGCCGATTACGGGAGCAGGGGAGTGTGTGTGTTCTCTGCTGGGACTGAGGCCGGCATCCACCTTCTCTCCCTGCACAGATCACAGAGCAGAGGGGCCGCCGAGCCCTTCTGTGAGGCACCTGACATGGTCTTTTCCAAATGACAGGGGCCCACGCGGCTGCTGTCGACAGGGAGCGTCCTTTCCAGCAGCACCTGGGGCGTGCGCGGCCTTCCCTGGGGC